CTGTAAAAAGCCTCTCGTCCGAGCTGCTCTCAAAGCAGCTCCAAAAAGAGGTCAGTATAATTACCCTCATGTTTCAGATTGGGAAACTGGAATGTGTGGAGAGGAAGCAACATTTCCAAGAGCAGCCAGCAGGTCTGGAGCAAGCCAGAAGGAAAACATAGGTTTCTTGAGCTTAGGGCACTGTCCTTGGAGCACAGTGCAGTTAGTTGGGGGGAAAAAACCCAGGCTTAAAGCTGAGACATGCTTTTGGATGTGCTGGAAATCTCTGTGCCTTTCCCTGTGTTTCCTGGCTGCCTGTGCAGTTGTCAGGAAATACTGGTGACAGTTATTCCATCTGGGGAATAACTCCTTTTTTGGGGAGATAATGTTCTGTACCATCGGTGGCTTAATTAAACCAGAATCAATCTTTCATTTTAGGTGTTAATCTCGCCCAACACTTTCCTGGCACACTCCAGGGGTGTGAGGAAGCAAATCCTTCCCTGTGTCAGGATTTTCCTTCCCTGGATTTCGTTGGCAGGTGTAATGGGAGCTCAGCAACACTCACCAGGTCCAGCTCTTTCTTAAGTTCCTCTGTCTTCTTTTTTTTCTTGTTGCCTTTTAAGTCTTTGTGCTTCTCATCTTCATCTTCAATCTCTGTTTTTTGTAGATCTTTTGTCCCGTAGATCTCAACTGAGTAAACATCAGACCTTTTCTGTGGAAGGCCACAAAAACCAAGTCAAACACTGACAAATCTGTTTTTTGTAGAAAACCTACGAATTACTGCTGTCCCTTTCTCCTGGCAGCTTAAAGTGTTAATTCCTGTCCTATCCTGAGATCCACCCAGTGTGTGTTACAGTGATCATGGGCAGGACTTCACCAAATGTAAATTACAGAGATTCCTTTAGGGATGTGCAACACTTTTAGCAGTTTATGGTCCAACACCAAGTGTGGAAACACTGCCCAGGCTCCCACCACTGCCAGTGAAAACCATCCAGTCCTTTATCAGCTCCAAGAAGAGATCAGTGGAAAAGCAAAAGATTTGCAACAGGAAAGCGGAGGGAAAATTTATTCATTGAGAACTTGCTTGTTCCTGGGGCTTTTTAGACACATAACTTGGAGAGTTACTTTTTTAATTAAAGTTAACATTTACATATTTATATTTACACTCAATCACGAGTGAGAGATGAGGCAAACACCACCTGAGAGCCAGGGAGAAGCCAGTCTGCTGCTTCTCACACAGAGCTCAGAACTAACAGGGAGTTAGCAGAATATTCCCTTATTTCTGCCGGGAAGCTGCTGACGTGGGGATGCTGCTGAACCTCAGATAATGTTTTGCTCTCAGGGATAACTCGGGGGTTGTGCTGTTTCCTAATTTAATTAATAATTTAAGTTAACACCGTGGTCTGAAGGGCAAACTTCCTGTGCCACCGATTTACCAGCTCCTGTAATCATAACGTTCCAGTTCCTAATTATCTTGTAAACTACATGCCAGGCTTGGAAGGACTATTGGGTGACCCCATTCTGGAGGCTTCCTTATGGATTAAGCACCAGAGGGTCAGGAGAGTCAAAGCAGAGAGCTCAAGTAATGGAAATAGCAAGGAAAAAAAATAATAATTGGGACATCTTATTACTTAATACTGTTCTGAACTCAGAATTGGCATCTTACCCTGAGCTGCCCTTTAACTGTTGGAATATTCAAATCTTGGCATTGTATCTCGAGGAAGGGAAAAGCAAAGAGCTGGGGAGTAGTTTGGGGATTTAAAAGGCTGAAATCCCTTTCTCAGAGCACTTGAGTTTGGTGATGAATATCCCAGAGAAGGGACATGTCTGTTACAAGAGGTTCTATTTCTTTCTAGCATGCTGAAGATTCACAGTCTGCTTTATCTATTGGGATTTTTTTCTTCACCTTCCTCCTCCTCCTCCTCCTCCTCCTCCTCCTCTCTTTAACTATCCCACCCAAAAATCTGTTCAGCTTTTCAAATCCCTGTAAAGGAGAGAGACCAGGAGAGAATGAAAACAGCTCTCTACTGTGAGAACTTAGCAGTTGGAAGAGCATAACAAAGAAAATTAATGAAGTTAGTAGAATCTATTGATCACTTCTATGCATGGTCTATGTTTAACCCTTAACCTGCACATTTTCATAAAATCTCAGATTTTGGCACTTGCAAGTGCTCATGAACCTGTGGATTATCAAACCAGCCAGTCCTGGAATTCTCCCCTCTCCAACCTGATCACTCCCAACAGTGTCTGGTATTAACTCAATTTTTCACTTAGCTTGTATTTATAGCATACATTGGCATATTAAAACTTAAATTCATGCTTTTTCTTAAGAAGAAACACGAATGCAGGAGGGGCAATCCCTTGCAACTGTACTCACCTTTACCATCTTGGTGAGTTTATTCCTTTCCTGATGGAGTGAAAAAGTCTCTGGATGAAAAGCCAAAGCCCAGCTGGAGGTGAAGTGGCTCGGAGCAGCTGGAGTGCAGGAGGTGGTAGGTCCCTCTCAGATGGCCAGCAGGTGTTAGCTGGAATCCTGCTCCCACCTTGGCATCCTTCAGGCAGGACGAGCTCCTTGTCCAAAGCCTGTGGAGAAAGAGCACTGTTTGCCAGTGCTTTATAAATCAGCATCTTGTGCTGCCACTCCACCCCTCCCCTTCCAGGTCCAGCCCATCTTCTGTTTCACCTGGAGTAGGTGGAAAAATACCACAGTAATGGGCATGTGGGTTTCAGGTCAGATAGGTTCTAATTATTCCCTCGTAGTGTTTGCTCACAAGTAGGGAACAGGTGTATTATTCATCTTGCTGGAAGCAAAGAGTTTCCTTCCGAGACTTTCCAGCTCCAGGCTGCCCTCAGGATTCCGGCTGTCCCGGTGGAGGGGCAAAGGGAGGCTCTGCACATTTTGTCTTGCCTGTTCAGGTGACCCCTAAGGTCCCTCAGAGTCAAATCCCTGCCCCATTTAGGTACTAACAGGGATTTATGGAGTGGTGCTCTCTCAAGCTTCTTGGCTTGGACTTCACTCTTAATTCTTGCCCTGCATTTGTTGTGTTTTTAACCTTCATGCTCAGCTGGAAAAAGCACTTCCTGGTGCATTTTCAGCAGGAGCACTTACCTGAACAGTTTGTTTACTTTGTTTATCTTGCACCAATTACCAGCTTCCAGACAGGAGTGAGAATGAGATTTATGACACTTTGGATTCCTGGCTTGGCTCATCACTTCCAAGTAAAGTTAAAACAACTTCTTCGCCTCTGAAATTTTACTGATTTTAAGTGAGATGTGGCGAAAGGTTTTCCACAGTTCAGCATCATTTGGGGGGAACTGTCTGTCTGACAGAACCAGTCCTGCTGACCAGCACAGCATCTCAGCAGTTGGTCTCTGACGTTATAGGATCCGTAAACTCCAAATTGGATCATTTGAGGTGCCACCAGCAAATGACTCAAACTGTGGCGAGAGACGTGACGTGTTAGCGGAGATAAGTGAGGTTGAATTTATCAAGCCGTAGATAAAAGCTGCTTCAACAGTAGCATGAATAATTTATGTTGAAATCACGGACAGGCTTCCAGGGAACTGGAGTTTCCTACCTCCTTGAACCATTTCCACCTCTCAGTTTATGTGTGTTGGTCCTTTTCCATGGCACTCTCGGATCCTGGGACGTTTCGCAAGGCGCGGAAGCGCCGCTGGAAAGGTTTCGTGTTCGGTTTCTGCCTCTCGGTGTGTTGAGACCTGGGTTGTGTCCTGGGGCTGGAATATAAACCTTTTCACAGGTGTGTAAGTGCTGCAGGTTTCACAATGTGTGCAGGAGCAGGGATAGAATGCCTGCCTCCAGTGAATCTGTGTTTGTTCTGGAAAACACACCGGAGCAGGACGATGGAGAGGTACAGTGAGGATATTTGGCTTTGCTGAGGCTGGAAATAGGGGGGATATGAGAAAGGAAATGGACTTGGAAGTAGGGAAATGCCTTCCAGGAGTGGGGTTGCACGACATCAGATCTGTGGCTAAAACCAGTGGGCTGCAAAACACAAAAAGAGGGCCAGCAAACTTCACCCTGTCCATGCACAGGTTTTAACTGGGAACTGAGATTTCTAGTCCAGTGGTGGGTGGAAAACAAGAACGTGTATCCTATTATTCATGGAATCCATAAAGACAGCCACCCTGCACTTTTTAGTAATGGTTTGTGATTCAGGAAGTTATCTGGGTCATTTGGGCAGCTTTTGTGTTCGTCTTCTATAAATCCTGCTGACTTTTGCCCGGGGACGAATGTTAGAAATGCAAATTGGAAGATTTTTGGCAACAAAATGCCTCATAACCCTGCTCTGGCATGGAATATTTGCACTGCCACATCTGTCTGTTGAAGGATGTGTTTTGTAGCAAAGGAATTGGACTGGGAAATCTCCACAGTTTAGAATTTACAGAGTATTCAGCTGGGTTTGCTGCTGACAAATGATGTGTGTTGAGCTGCCAAGTTCAAAGGGCAGATTTGGTGGTTAAAAAGCTCTGTGCCCAAAATGTCATTAATTTTGCCCACTGAAGGGCTTGTTTTTCTGTGAGATGAGAAGGATGAGAAGCACTGTAAAAAGACCAATCTCCTGTTCTCTGTGAACAAACAAACCAGGGTTGGGTCATCCTTGTTACCAGGAGTCACTTGCCACTGATCACCTTGTGTTTTATCACTTGGCCCTGATGGAAAGTCTCAGAAACAGAACCCAGGTGTGAATTCCGGTTGCAGTTCTGGACAAGGGTTTGTGCACCACCAAATCCTGCCAGGGAAGTGCTTGTGCCTTGCTTTAGCAAGACATGGCTTGTGTGGAGAGGAATATCCCTGGGCCTGTGCCAGAGGGCTGCAACCATCACGTGTGTCTCTGGTGTGTCACAACAGCCCCAGCTGGGCCCTGGCTAGGAGGTAAAATGAATTAGGATTTCTAAATATCAGTCTTGAAGTAGCTAAATATTTCTAAACATCAGTCTAGAAAAATGATGTGTCCCTTCTCAATTATTGTGTCTCACGTTTCTTCCCCAGAATCACGACGTGCTTTGATCATATTCTAAGTTCTTCTGTCTACGTGCAAGCTCAGTAAAAAAAGGCAACCAGGAGAATGCTTTGCTGTTATTTAACACAGGGACACCACACTTCTTGTGTGTGAAGGCTGCAGGTTGCTGATCCCAGCGCTCAGATTGTCAGACACCCTCAGGCTTTGAAGTAAAAGTGTAAATCTTTGGAAAGGGTTTTGGAGCGAGAAGGAGATGCTGTTGCCTGATGAACTTTGCTTTGCTATTTATGGGCCTCCTGTCCTGTATGAAGCAGAACGAGCTCAGCCGAGGCAGCAGGGAGCTTGGGAAGCCCTAAAGCCGCAGAGGGGATGGTAAATGGACACTTAAAATTGCTCAAATTCGCTTAAAATTGCTTAAATTCGCTTAAAATTGCTTAAATTTGCCTTTCCCGGCTGCAGTTGCGGGCGGTGCCGGCAGAGGGCGCACGGGCCCCTGTGCTCAGCCATTCCCTCCCCAATTCCCGGCTTTTAAACCCGAAAAATTCCTTAAATTCCGCGAGAGCGGAGTGTGTGTCTGCCTTGGTGTCCCTGCACAAGCCTGTCACCTCCCCTGGTCCACAAGGAGGACGTGGACCTGGGCACCAAGTTGATCAGAGGGATGGAACATCTGTCAGATGGGGAAAGTCTGGGAGAACTGGGATTGTTCAGCCTGGAAAAGAGAAGCTTTGGGGTGACCTAATTGTGCCCTTCCAGTACCTGCAGGGAGCCTGCAAGAAAGAGGGGGAGAGACTATTTACAAGGGCCTGGAGTGACAGGACACAAGGAATGGCTTCAGAGTGCCAGAGGGCAGGGTTAGATGGGATACTGGGGAGGAATTCTTCGCTGCACCATCCCTGGAAGTGTCCATGGCCAGGTTGGACGGGGCTTGGAGCAACCTGGGCTAGTGGGAGGTGTCCCTGCCCACGGCAGGGGGTGGGAGTGGATGAGCTTTAAGGTCCCTCCCAACCCAAACCATTCTGGGATTCTGAGACTCTGTAGAAAAATGTGGGGTTTTTGTTTGGGGTTTGTTTTTTTTTCCTTCTTCAAGGCCAAAGGTAAAACAGAACCTGAACTTCAGGTGAGGGTTTTGCAGTGCTGAAATCACCTTTGAAAGGTGGGATGGGGCTGCAGGTGAGCTGGGCACACACTGGCACATGGGAGCTGTGTGATTTCCTAGTCCTTTAAACACCCTTTAAAGGCAGGCTTTGCTCCTGTCTCCAGGACCAGGCAAGTCAAAGGGGCTGGGAATGTGTTCTGGGTTCATCTATTGAGAAGTTTGTATTCTGGGAATGTGTTCTGGGTCCATCCATTGAGAAGTTTGTATTCTGGGAATGTGTTCTGGGTTCATCCATTGAGAATTCTGGAGGATTTCTTGTTTTCTTACTCAGCAAGAGGAGAAAATCCCCTTTCAGCAGAAGGAAAAGATGGTGCTACATCTTATCTTTTCCCCCTCCTTAGTTTAACCCAAAGATGTTAAACTGTGATTCACAGGCCACAAGTGATGAACCAAGCACCTGTATAAAGCTCTCAGGGGCCAAATGAAAACAGCTTAAGTGGTATTTGGACACTGGTAATTTAGGCATTGGTTGTAAACCACTCCTTGTCTGAGCATTCACCTCCTGGGATCAGGGAATGGCACGTTCTGTTCTACGTGGGGCTGGACACATGGAAAACTGAATTTCTGTGCTTTTTTTTCCTTCCAATTTTCCTTTCTTGTTAATCAAAGATGAGCAGGGAATGCTGGGGAGCAATGGGCTTCACTCCCAGCTTTTAGGATGGCATTTTGAGCGAGGAACAGCATTATAAATGCCGTGCTGACCTGATGTCCCTGCAGACCTGGCACAGCCACCACAGCTGCAGGTTGTTTCAGGGCAAGTTTCTGATTTTACAAAAGGATTTGGGCTTCCCTTGGCCTTTTGAAGCTGATACCCTGCTGAGGTGAGTTTTGTGTAGCCACAAAGAGACAACATGGCTTAAATATATAATTTCATATATCTTTTTCAATATATCCTTTATTTCTTCACATCATTTGAAGAACAGCTGTCTCTGAGGAGGAAAACAAGCCACAAGCAAGTCACAGCTTCCAGAACTATCTCACTCTTCTGAATATTTTATTTTACTGCTTCCTAGTGCTACTAATATGAACCATTCCTGAATCCATAGTGGTGTAAAAACAGTAAGGAAAATTAATCTTTCTCTCAGCAACGTCCTGGGGCTTTGCAAAGGTACCAGTCATGGACTGGAAGTTGGTGCAGAAACACAGAGTAACTTTCTTCTTTAAACATGGTTATGTTGCCAACATTTCATTTGCAATCATAAATGATTTATGGGGGGGTTGTAAATTCTAGTCTTCCTTTCAAACAGCTGCTGTCTTGATGCCTTGATGTGGCTGCACAAGTGATGGCCAGCTGATAGAGCAGGACTGGTGTTGACTGGCAGGACAACTCTCCTTGGAAGGTGGCTGAGGTGCCACAGCCAGATGTGGTGACCTCCACTGGAAGGTGATTAAGACATGTTTAAAAATCACTGCTTTTGCATTCCCAGAAAAGTAGGTGGGTTCTGAAGAGCTGCTCCCAGAGCAGCCACAGGGGAAGGAAACTAGTGAAGCATTTAAGAAGAAGGCTGTGTCCCCCCTCTTCTTACTTTATTTTTTTCTTTCATTTCCATTCAATATCAACATATACCAGTATCAATGGAATTCTGTTGGCTTATTTAAAAGATGAGGAGGGAGGAAGAGAACTCTCTACTCAACTCCTAACACCCACTGAGATATTTCAGGCAATCTCTATCTTATTTTTCCATTTGTATTTCCTTCTGAAATTCTATCCCTTAGAAATCCTGTCCTCTGCCATCACCGGTGTGATGGTCACATTTTTGCCCTTGAGTAAAATTCAGAGAAGGGCTTCTGGGGTCAGAGAAAACACCTTGAAATAGTTGAAGGTGTTACACAACTGGGATGTTTGAGATGTGAAGTTGCAAACAGCATTTTACCTGTGGAATTCGAAGGTCACGTGGGTTTGGCTGCACAGCTTGGAGCTGTGTGAGACCTTCCCTGCACTTGGCCTTGCGCAGAAAATACTTGGGGTCAAGAAAAACTTGTTTCATGTTTGTCGAAGCCACGCGAAGGGGCTTGGCAGTGTCTCCATTCCCACCACCAGTGCCTCTGCCTTGGTCCCAGAGCACCCTTTGGAGGTGGATCCCAGTGCCTCACTCAGAGCCCCCAGCCTGGGGTGGGGCAGGAGTGATTTGAGAGGGAAAACACGGTGGTGGATGAAGTAATGAAGTGCCAGGGCTGATGCTGGGCCTTGGCACGAGGAGCACGGGGAACTCATGGTGCCAATTCCCCCCTGTGTCTGACAGACCAAGCATTTTGGTTGTGCACTGTGGTGGGAGCTGCTTCTGCCATGGCACAGAAATCAGGGTGAAACAACCCCCCTGGCACTCGGAGGAAGAGGAGGCTGTACGTGCTGCAGGTCTGCACACACGGACTCGGAGGGACTCACATTGGCATTCCCTTGGAATGACATTCCCTTTGCATGCCACTTCCCCTCCAGTGCCTTGCAAGACGGCAGAGGCACCACAGCCAGATGTTCACTGGCTTTTTAAAGAGAGGAAGGAGCCTCTGCTCCCTCGTCAGAGCCTCCCACCTCTGCCATCCCTTCCCTGCGCCAGCGCCGAGCGTGTCCCCGGCCGTGGGCAGTGTCACCTCCCACCTCCAGTCCTGGGGCAGTTCATGCTGCAGGAAAACCCAACCTCACCTTTCACCCACCTTCCCCTTGGGAAAATGCCCCTGACTTTGATTTACAGTGGGTATTGTTCAAGTGCTGCTGAGAACCAGTCCAACCACCCGCTTAATTTATGGGAATAAAGTCAGTTAAGTAAGAGATGTAGAAAGTTACGGGCTTGGGGCTTGGCTGGCAGGGAATCCACTGGTTTTCAGTCTGTCTCGCTTGGGAAACGGCTCAGGATAGTGTGGATAACGTCTTGTAAAGCTCTTTCTATCCACAAAGAATGCAAAGTTTTGTTAGACTTGAGTGCACTCAACTGCAAGACGTCCTTAGGTGTTTTGTAGCTCTGTGTTGGTGGGGAATTATTGTACTGAACAGCTCTGAAACGTTATTTTAAGCAGAAAATGTTGGCTGAGTTTAGATTTTTCCCTTCAGCTCTTTTATTTTTTTTTTTTTATAAGTGATGTCTGAGGTACCTCTTCTTACTGTGCTCAGCTTGGGGAAGGTGGCAGGGCTGGGCCTTTTTATTATCATGGTTGTAAAGCACCTTTATTTAGTGAGCAGTGACACCTGTGTGTTAGGGTTGGGGTTCTTTCCATCAGTACCTCTGGCAGTGATCAGCAAAGGAGGTCAGGAGCCTCATTTGCACTTGACAGATGGAGAAACTGAGTCACAGAGAGTGTAAAACCAACAGCAGGAGGGTCCCAGTGAAAGGACGAGGACTGAGTTTTCCACTTCCCTGATTTCTGTGTGTCCCTTACCTGTCTAATCTGCTTGAGGGCTGCAGAACATCAGATCCCCCAGCACAAAATTGCCTGGGAGGGGATGCAGCTCATCTAATTTAGCTCTGGGGCTGCACCAGTCACTCAAATTGTCTCTGCAGCCAAGAGGGAGAAAGCAGCACCTCCAGACAGCAGTTCCTCATCCGTGTTAGACGTATATGAGATGATAATTACCCTGCTCTCTGCCTGGATAAAGCAGTTCAGATGAAATACATGCTTTTAGGGCAGGTGACTCCTGTCCTTAGGAACAAATGCATGTATAGATGTGTCCAGATGACATGGTTTAAATATTAAATTAAAGGAAGCACTTCCCAAGCTTTGATTTGGCTTTTGTGTACAGATGATCTGAGCCAGATGTGAGCACAGTCCTTGGGCTTTTGTAACAGACTTTCCTAGGAACTGAGCTTCAGAGGGTCACCCTGATCTGCTGCAGAAATATTTGCTGTTAATGCTGATTTTTTTTTTTTCTAAAAGAGGATCTCACAAATCCCATCAAGTTTTGCTTCACGAGTCAAGTATTTTGAATGCATCTGGGCTGAGGTGACTTGTGGCAAAGCTAAGGATGAATGAAAGGCTTCCTGTGTCACCAAATCCGTGCTCAGTATGCAAAGTTTTGTGATGAGTAAGTGTGTGGTGGCTCAGGGCTGCTGGGAGGTACCTGCAGGTCAGCACAGTGTCAGTGTGAGCAGCAAAAATAAAACTCAGAATGGTTTGGGTTGGAAGGGACCTTTAAAATCACCTCATTTCACCTCCTCCCCTGGGCAGGGACACCTCCCACTACACCGGGTTGCTCCAAGTCCTATCCAACCCGGCCTTGAGCACTTCCAGGGATGTGCTCCATGCCCTTGGAAGGGGAAGAGAGGAATTTAAAGAGAGCAAAGTCGCATGAGAGGCTCTGAGCTCAATAAGGTGAAGGACTGTGAGGTGCAACACACGCTCCTGCACTTGGTAACCCTGGAGAAAGAGGGAAAAAGCAAGGGATAACTGGGATGTCCTGTCAAATGAGCTTTATTCCCTTCTCCTTGCTGCTGGGCAGCCTGTCCCTTGTGCAGCACCGGCACTGGGGTGTCGTGCAAAGTGTCTGAACCAGAACTTCTTGCTCTGGAAGTCAGTTTTTGTGAAATGTTGTGTGAGACTTATTGCAGGCACTTCCCAGGACGGCGTGAGGGAGCTGGGGGTGTCACAGCACAACTGCACCCCCCAGGAGGAGGCAGGAGGCAGCTGGATGCAGGGATGGGGCTCCAGGTGATCCAGCCCCAGAGCTGGGAGCAGCCCAGTGCCAGCAGCCCGGGGTTAATCAGCTCTGCTGCCTCACGGCAGTAATTGGTGTTTGCACAGCACTTTGCAAATCTGAGAGCAGTTGCTTAAATGCAAATGATGGATGGGTTGGCTCCCAGCCTGCCTCTGGAGCCTGCCCTCTCTGCTAATTAGGCACTTTGGCTCTGGAGATGAATGTAAAACACGGGATTGGATCAAACCTCTGGTTATTTTGGTTGGGGCTCCCTCCTCTTCAAAGGTGTGAAACCACCTGAGCTTGGAACACTGGTAGTAGAGCGACGTGCAGGTGAAGTTTCTAAGTAAAAAATCAGCATTTTGGGGGTGCTGCTTCCATGAGGGGCCCTAAAAGCTGTGGAAACAGCCGTGCTTCTGTTTTCCTCCACGTGAGCTGCTGGGTGAGGAGGTTTATTTTATGTTTTGCAGGGCTTGGTGGCACAACACTGCCTTTATCTGAGCAGTTTTCATCCTCCTTGGTGCCCAGGTCAATTTAAATTTGGGAATGTGCACAGTTGAGTTACTGGCCCCGGGGTTTTGTTGGACACTGACCGTGAGCTTTTTAGCAATAGCAAACTGCATCTTTATCTCCCCTGTGTGATTGTTTTAAATTTCACTGCAGTTTGGGCAGCCACAGACGACTAGAAAAGCTCCAAAATGTGTATTATTCTCCTCTCCTATGAAAACTGTAATCACAGCAAATTAAAACACATGAGTTAGTATTTCCTTCCTTGGAAGTGGAGTCAGATATTTTGATATTTCTTGTGAATAATACCTTATTTTTAGCTCTTTCAGACCCTGAAAATTTACACTACTTGGCATTAAATCCCTAACACGTAGGAGTTTAAGCTACTGCATCTTTTGGAAGGAGATTACTCTTTAACATAATATATTTCAAGATTAATAATTTCAGAAGCTTCTGGGCATCCATTCAAGAGGGCAGCTCCTTGGAATAATGTCTGGTTTTATCAGGTTATTGCACAAAATCAGCATTGCATTGAAATGTTGCTGTCTTGCAGTATCACCCTAAAGTATGTTATTCAGCTACTGAAGTGATGCTACAAAATGAGCATAATTTTATCACAAAGTGAGTGTGTGTGAAACCAAACATCAGAAAGGAAGAATGGAATGCTATGCCAGCTGGAAACAAAGACTGAAATACAGTAGTAAAACAGTTTTGCAAAGGCCACCTAAGTTCAGAAAAGGAAAACAGCTTCATAAAGAAAATCAGTCTCAGTAAATCACCAGTCCTGGGGGAATTGTCTCGTACTCTGAAAAGTAGTTCTGTGTATTCCTTCTCATCAGGATGATTAATGGGCTGGTTCTGCCAAAGGGAGCATGTTTAAGCACAATGTAAGCACTAAAAATGAAAGCTTGGTGTTTTTGCAGCTGCCTGTCGTGAAATTGGGTTCTCTAAGGAAGAGGCAAAAATTAGGATGTTTCCAAAGGGAGTTGGACCAGTGAAATACAGCAGTTTAATTCTGAACCATAACAGAAATATATTATCCCCAGACAAGCTCCTGGCTAATGCTCCTTCCCCCCACATCATCTCAGCTACCTTTCTAACCTGACTGAGGATTACATTTAGGAGCCAGAAGCTTTTCAGTGCTCCAGGCTCCTGCAGGACATGCCTTCCTGTTAGCCAGGAAGAACAAGCTGTAAACCAGCACTTGATAACTATTAAATTAACGAATCCCAACTTCTGTTGCAGCAGGTGGCACACAGAGGTCTACCAGGTACAAGGTTCTGCATCAACAAATGATTTGCATCTGCTTGTCTTCCTCCTGGAGGTGAGTCAGAGGCCAAATAGTTTCAGTCCAGTGTTTATTTTAAGTTGCTGTTCGTTGTTGATTCCTCCTGAGAGGGACTGAATATCGTGGCTGATATCACTGATATCTCAGGTGATAATCTGTGGGATGGAGATCAAAAATCCCAAGCCTGGGCTGCAGCAAATGGATCATGGCAAAGCATTGCCCAGCTCCTGGGGGCAGATGGCTCCCCTTCCCCTGTTCCCATCCCTTTTGGGGTATTTTTGGTGCTGTACTCCTGACACGGCCCCTCTTTTCCTATTTCTGCACTTTTAAACAATTTTTGGCTGCAGGTTTTGCTCTGGGACTCACCTGTGACTGCTGTGACCACACCAAGGCTGGTGGGAGCACACAGGTCCACTTTCAGTCATGGCAAGCATGAATATGCATTTCCTCATGTGCATTTTCCCTGGATTTTCCCCTTAGCAAAACCCTGGCTGTAGCACTGGGCAGGAGAGGGAGCTTTCACTTCTGGGTGTCACACCACTGGTTGAGATTAACTCCTTTGGGTTTGGGAGTGTGTGGGGTGTCGTTGCATTGCAGAGCATGTTTAGGGAGATAATCCACTTATCAGGCCAGGAACACGTTCTCCCTCTATCAGACAACAAATTAGTCCTTTCCTTGCTGAGGGAGATAATGAGGGATATCCCAACCTGGAGGAACAGGGGAAGGCATGGCACGAGGTTGACAAGATCAGAGACAAAAGGAGAAGGGGGAAATGAAAAGCAGATTTGTTGAAGAATGGGCTGCAAAATATGAGTGATTTACTGCAGCAGCTCATTCATCAAGGGAATTTGGCCTTGCCTCACTCTAATCTAAATTGAATCTAATTTAGATTCCAAGCAAGGGATGGGGATCCTTTCCTGAACCAAAACAAGCCTTGCCACCTCCTACCTTCTCATTACTCATTCCTTAATTTGTTTGGGTTCGTTATGTAGGACATTCAGGAAGAATAGCTTAAAGCTGTGTGTGCCTGGGCTAAATCTGGTGTTATAATCTCTGCTTTGCTGCACACAGGGTTGATTTTTGATTCAGTTTTGATGCAGGGCCCCCAGGAACTCGGGTGTGAACATCTTTTCTCCTTTCCTGAGTGCTGAATTGCTTGCACTTGATCTGGGGGAGTTCAACACTGCCTTGGGCTCAAACAGTTTCTGGTTTGTCATTAAAAATCGTGCCAGCATATGTCAGTCAGAACCATGCTGGAAGAAGGGGCTGGAAGATGGTTTCTCTCCATTTTTGGGGTGTGCTGCTTGCTGCCCTACTTTCTGCCCTTGCATTGTGAGTTGATAAACAGCCAGAGTTGGCCTGTGCATGCCTGGGAATGGCAGAATTCCTTCCCTGAGGCTTGTCAGGACTCCCAGCTCGGGCACTGAGGTTCAGACTGTGCTCAGTGAACTGCCCTTATTCAGGACCCTGCTGCTGATTCCCCCTTAAAATGTGTGCCAGGTTTTTCCTGAGCCTGTTCCTGAGGAGTGAGAGGTGACATTTGGGCATTGATTCCAGCAGAGGCTTCTGTGGCACGGGCCATGTCAGGGCACTGCCTTGGAGCTTGTCCCAGACCGTTGTGCTGCCTCCTAATTTTTGAATTCCACGTCTGATCCTTTGACATGTGTCTCACCTTCCTCCCTCCTGCAGCTTTTTGCTTCCCCAGGGATACTCTGCTGCCTGCAGGAATCTCCTGTGGGCATGTGCTCCAGGATCTCAGTGCCATAAATCTTGTCACACCTACATGAGTTGTTCCCATGCAACTAATTTGTCTCCTGCTGGTTCTGAACAATGTTCTGAACAAAACCTTGGGTTGGGCAGGTTGTTACACCCCAAGGATAAAAGGGGTTTGCTGCGAATTCAAGGCTTGAAAAAAAAAAAAACTTGCTTGAGGGGAAAACTTTGGGGAATGGGGAAAAAATTCAGCAGGGATGGTGAGAGAGGCTGGGCAGAATTTTTGGTGAAAGGGAATCAAATGGTGGTGTTAGGAGGTTGCCAGGATGCCTGTGGGGAATTTTCTGGAAGAAAAAGCAAATTATTAAGTTCCCTGCAGAATTTAAGGTATGGAAAAGGGTTAAATATTCCCAGTGGACCCCAGACCATGTAGGTTATGTGTCTGAACTGACTGACAGTGAGTTCCCTGCCATCTCTACCCTGCTGCTCATCAGGTCCCTGTGCCCTGGTTCAGTGTTGTTGCCACTTTGCCCTGGCTGCCTCCCCATGGAAAGCATTCCAAGCCACGTGAGGCAGGTGGGTGACAAAATGCAACCAGCTGGGAATGGTGGCTGTGGGAATGCTGCTTCCAAGAACTGCACCAAAGCACAGGAGCCTCTGTCACACGTGAGCTGCACTCCAGACTGCTCCAGGCAAGGGCTGGGGAGCTTTGGTCTGGTTGCAGTAGGAAATTCCAGTCGAAACCAAGACTGGGTTGACCTGATTAGAGCAGGACACGGGCGACAAAACAGCTCCTGCCCCGAGATTCCTTTCTTGTTGCCGAGGTGAGTGTTGGGGTCTGCTGTTCCCTGCATCCAGACACTTTTCCTGACCAGGAACTGTGCTGTCTTCTCCCACATCCTGCTTTAGTCACGTCTCTCTTCTGCTTTTTTTCCCCCTCTGAAGTTTCCTCCCTGCTGCTGCTGGGCATTTGGATGCACTTTGGCACATCCATAGATGGTGACATCGTCATTCTATTCCATTTGGAGCTGAAAGGAACTTGCAGTTGGGTGCTCAGGGTGATTTTTCAGGAGTGTAGAGACACCCCATGGAATACCAGTTGGTAGAATCCAAGCTGAATTAGGTTTTACAAAATCTGAATAATTACACTGGGAGGGGATCAACATAAATTAATTTTTTTTTTTAAGAAAGTGTTTTAAAATTAGCTTTAAAACAGCTGGAAATAAGAAATTAGTAACTGACAATCAGCTGATGAGCTTTCCTGCCTGCTATGATTAAGGGCAAGTACTTTCCATTGCTAAGCTGAGCTCTGCTGGGCTGGACTGAGCCAGCCAAGGCTGGAGTCTGGGGGCTGCTGGTGAGCTCTGTTGTTTTCTGTGATGGTGTTTCCATGTGGTCAGGAGATGCTGCCACTGTGGGAGCAGATCCCTTTGGTGACAATGCCAACATTGGGATCAAAACCACAACAAGTCCGGGAGGCAGCTCCTTCCCACAGCAGAGCTTTGTCTGTGTTGTATGGACATCCTGAGCCAGCATTTTGGCTTTGGGACTAAAATAAGACACAGGAGGCTCTGTGGAAGTGTTCCTGGCTGCATTATATCTTCCTTATCCATCCAAGCCTGTGTTTGGAATTGTGCCGTGGATTCCCAGGCTTGGGTTTGGTTGTTGCTCCATCTCCCACTTGTGCTGAGTGTGAAGTGTGGGTTTTTTCACTGGAAAACAGTAAATTAGCAGAACACGGGGTCAGTTTACGGAGAATTGCAGCTATTTGCATATTTGATAATTTGCAGATCATTAAATGTAAATTATTTCATGCCCCAGGGAGAAAAAATGTACGGGAGGAGGATGAAAAAGCACAAAATGTTTAATTCTGAGGTATCACTAAGAGCAAAGCTGATTTTTGTACTGGGTCCCAGTCAGTCAAGGGCTCTCTGAAGTTAAAAAGACAAAGGTTTTCAGTAGTTTAAAGCACTGAAGTGCTTCCTGCTGCGTGTTGGCACCCGGACGTTCCAGGAGCGCGACACGAGGTGGGGAAGAGCCCGTAAAGCTCTGCCTAGAAAGGGAAATGAGGTGAGGAGGTTTTGCTGAGCAAGGTGCAGGAAGGGCAGGAGGAGGAGGTTGCCAAAGCAGCCCCTGTGTGGTCACGGGCCAGCAATGAAGGAATGGGGGTCACTGGAGGGGCGGAGGCGCCGTCAGGGCGTGGCTGGAACAGGAAACGGGAGGTGCAGGGCCCTCACCCCAAACCCGGGTTAATGGGTGCCCTTGAGCACATCACCTCACCCTGAGCTGCCTCTGCTGCCACTCTGCCTCCTGGCAGGGAGGGCTGGACACCTCAGGGGTTCGGGTGATAAAGGACTTTATTAGTCTGTGGATGGGTGGGAGCCCAGAACCCCCAGACAGCAGCATTGACCCTCCTTGCCTGTGCTGTCTGTGCTTCAAATTCAACATCTACAGACCCCACAGGAGCTGGGAAAAGAAAATCATCCTTAATGCTCTCAGTACTTAATACTCTTTATTACAGCTTAGGAGCTCTCTGGAATTTAGAGGAAGCACATTTCCTTCTAAATTGGAATAAGCCTCCAGCTTTTGTTGAGGATGTGTGAAGTTTTATTTCTGCCTTCAGGATGTGCATTAATGTGCTTTGTTGCTTCAGTTCTCAGAGAAAACAACCGGTGTTGATATTTATTTGGGTGTTGTTGCTCTGAGATGCTGGGAAAGGGTGAGAAAAAGCCTATTTATAGAACAAACTTCTCCTTTCTTAGACAAATCATTCTTTGTCTGATTTGAATCAAGATGGGAGGGAGGAGGAGGAGGAGGAAGGACTTTTCAAAGGATGGGGAGTTGCCCTCTGTGGTGAGAAATCCAACCCCCACAGAGCACCTTGGCTGCCCAGGAGCAGGGAGAACTGCCCAGGGACAAAGTCAAATGCAGGAGGTGGGAATCTGATCCTTGCCAGGCAAGTGGAACACATTTAAGTGCAGCTGACAGGGAACGTCTGTCAGGGCTCTGCTCTGTAGTGCACAGCTTGGGTTTTAAAGGGATGACATTTCTGGCATAAAGCTTAGTGTATTTTATAGAAAAAGCTAATTTTATCTGTCCTCAAAAAGGTTTTGTTCAAAAAGTGGACACTCCATCATGGTTTGCTCACCGTGCTTGAGGTCCTGGGTGAGCTCTGCTTCCCTCGTCCTCCCTGCTGAGCCTGTCCTGAAACAGCCACAGACAGGCTTGATAATATAAAGTAATTTTGGGTTTTAGAATGAAAACTGTACTTCCAGAAAGGTTTGTAATCAAGGAATGTTTACATGGCATGACAGAAGTATGTACTGCCTGCTGTGAGCACCCTGAGTGCAGGAATGATCAGTTTAATAACTCAGGTGCTGGTGGGGCTGGTGGCCATGTGTAGTGCCTTTGGAATGGGAATGAGCTGTTTAGTGGGTCACAGAAGTAGCCTTTCACCTCCTTCTTACTGGGCATTTGGGGCCACGGGGATGCTTCCAACATAACCACTTTTATATAGAGGGTTGTACATGTGTGTCTCTTTAAATGGAATATATGTGCCTTGTGTTCTCTCTCTGATATGATCAGCGTGTCTCCCTGTCAAAAATCAGTTGTTATCACTGAGTAACTGTACCTGGACAAGCATCTTTTGATGCTGAATCTATAGAAGTACAAAAGGAGAAGAGATTATAGTCCAAGTGGTTTCCATTTTGATGTTTCAAATGTATGCATTAGAATAGCAACAAGGAAAATGTTATGAAAGTAGCAGATAAAACTTCATACAGGACAGCAAGCTTCTCTTCAGCATAAGTAAGAACAAATACTCTCCTTTTTATTTTTTTTTCATTTAATAGGAAGTTGTGCTCACAGTAACATCCTTCTGGGAGCGTTGTGCCAACATTCTGCCCTTCTGCTTTTGTGAGAGTGATGGGGACTGTAGATCCACAGTGTCCCTTGTTCTGGTGCTGGACAATCCCACCTCCAGCTCTAGAAGGAAACTCTGTGTTTCCCAAGTAAGTACCACCCAAAAAATCCGGGTTTGATGGCATTTAGTTTTGAGGGTGGGCAGGTAATAATGGCACCATTAGGGCCAAGAATGCTCTTGAACTTGATTCATCCTCCACACATCACTGGCAGTTGGCACTAATTTTAAGTCCTTGACAAAACAGAGGCTGGAGCTGATGACCTGGTTCCACTGACCTTGAAACAACAACCTCTGTGACCTCCAGGCAGTGACATCACCCTGCTACTGCTCTGCCTGCTGCCTCTGGAGCAGAAGGGCTGCTGGCGGAATTCAGTTATTCCCTGTGCCTTCCAGAAAAAAGGGATTCCCATGGAAGCAGCAGGAGGTGAAGCAGGAGGAGCAAGGAGGGAACACAAAAGCAAGCACGTGGAGCAGAGCAGGGCTGATGCTTTATGCCAAGGCTCAGTCTGGAGAGGAATTTCTGCATCCCTCTTGCTTTTGTTGTGCCACAGAAATCTAATCCTGAAGGTTGTACAGAGATGACACATCACTTAAGTCCTTTATGGCCAAATGCTTTTAGAGTTTGTCACACACCAACAGAAGAGCTGTTCTGGTGCAGGGATTTCAGGAAATTCAGATCTTTTGGGGTGGAAGGGAAGGATTTGCCCTTACACACCAAGTGTTGAGTATTGCAGCTGCTTAGTTGCCATGTGACACTTTAATGAAGGTTTGTGATATTTTACTGTGGGTTTGCACCCCCGTTTTTCTTAAGAGCTGATGTATTTCTGTAGCATTTCCCAGAAAGTGGGGAAAAGGTGTGATGCAGATAACACCATCTGCTTGCAGGTAAATTAAAGAGGGCTTTCCTGGAGAAATGTCTTTGTTCTGGGGCAGCTGCAGAACTCGCAGTCACTGAGCCGAGGGGCAGAAAGGCTCCACTGAGCTCTTAGTGCAGCTTAATGAAGAGTTTTGGGGGCTCTCGGAGGTGAATAATTAACCTCGGTGGCATCAGACGACGAGCGGATGCCGCCAGAAGGATGCGGAGGACACGGGAACAGCGCCACGGGCTCCGTGCTCCCGGGTCTGTGTTTGGCCGAGCGGGATTCGGGAGCGAGGAGCGGAGCCCGGCTCGCCCCGGGCGCTGCGGAGGCACAGCGCGACCTGCCGGGAATGCGGGAATGCTGCCGCTCTTCTCCGGGATTGCACAGCCCCGGGAATGCCTTCCCCCTGCACGTGTGCACATACATGTTCTCTCTCTCCTTCCCCCAAGCCCCCCTCCAGGGATTTCTCCATATAATCTCTCCCTCCCTCTCCATTCCTCTGGATGGAAAGCTACAATCACTCTAAATTTATTTGTGGGGTTTTTTTCTGTTTGTTTCTTTGTTTAAAATTAATAAAACAACTACCAAGAGTAAGCAAACTGCAGCAGAATCCCCAGGCAGGAAAAGGTGCCTGCTTAGGGGCTGAAGTGCCAGCAAGGAATTCCCTTTGAAAAGTGGTGGTTTGGGGGGGAAGAAAGAGGCATTTTATGGGTTCAAATCTCTGTGTGACTTCTGCTGTTTTACACAGCACCTTTAAATTTGAGCAGGGAGATGTTCCTTGCTGTCAGAAGACAAAAGACCTCAGGCACAGGGTGTGACTTGGGGATGGTCCTGGGCAGGGCCAAGAGTTGGACTCCCTGATCCCTGTGGGTCCCTTCCAGCTCAGCATATTCTGTGACCTTTCAATTCTGTCATATTTAAGCTGGAAAACTGTTTCTCCTTTCTCTTGTGTGATGTCTAATGTATCACATGCATCTTTGTCATTTTAGATGAAAGATGATGACAATGTGCTACTAGGAGGACAAAGTTGGAAACCCACAGATGGCAGATGTAGGATTACAAAGGCTCAAAACCCCCAAAAATTCTGTTTCACGACAGGAGACTTGATTCTGCAAGAGAAATATCTCCATTACAAAGTCTCTTGGTCTTCTAAGGGGTTTGGAAATGGTGTATGTCCATGTTCACTGACAGCTGGGAGGAGATCCAACCTTATTCCTGTCTCAGGAAAGCAGCAGCCAAGGTAAGGCAGCAACATTTGCTGAACAAGCTTTTCTCTCAAAAAATGCAATCACTGCACGAGCTAAAATAATTGATGCATTTGTGTTGTTTTACTAGCGGTGAGAATTCAGAAATTAAATGAGCAAATGTGAATGAATATGTGTGGCAATCTGACACGCTAATGGGTTTTCATCCACTGCTAAAGTGAATGAGCTGAGGAGAGTCTTAAAAGCATATCTGTGAAAGTGCCACCTCATTAGGCTGGGATTGGTAAAACAGTCCTGCAGTTCCAGCACACAAGGCCTTGCCTACGTGCAGATGCACTGCTGGATTTTATTGGCAAGGAGTCCCAGAAAACAATACCCCAAAGCCCCTGGACTGACAGCAGGGCTTAGAATTTCCAGGATGTATGTGTACAATAACACACCTCCAGACATGGCCTGCATTAAAAAAAAAAAAGTGTTTATTTAATTTATGGCCACATGTCAGCAACGTGCAGGAATGCAGCTCCCTGTGTTTCTTGGATGTGGAGCAGGGAATTTTCAGCCCAGCCTTGTTTGCTGCTCCAAGGGATCCCAGTCCCCAGACCCTGCCAGGCCTCTGTGCATGCGCAGGCTCTGCCTGATGGGAGGCTGCTCCACGTTTAAGGAAGCATTTCCCTGGCAGGGAGCAGGGCTGTGGAAGGCAGGAAAGGCTCACAGACAGCTTGGGCAGTGTCCTTGCTGGGGCACTTCTTGTTCGCAGAGGGGAGGACTCTCTAAAATCCAGACCTTATTCTTCGTCCGGGCAGGAAAACAGTTCTCAGAGCCGAGGATAAATTGGGACAGCCTGGGTTTTCTCTGGGACATAAGGATGGCAAAGGGACTGGGCCTTGTGGGCCCTCAGGGAAAGCAGAAAGGGAGAGTAGTAAATCAAGACCATGCACCATCTGTAAGTAGTGGAGAGAGATCCTGCAGTGTGTGTGTGACAGAAAACAGGGCTGTTGCTCGGGATGGAGCAGGTTTTTCAGGAATCATGGGGATGATTCTCCTCCACTTTGTTCCATGGCATGGGGAGATTGATCTGGCAAAAAAAAGATGCAGTGCTAATGCAGGCAGGTGTTTGTGCAGGGAGAACACGTAAGACAGCAGAGTCACTCCAGGTGCAGCTTAAGGCATTAATGGGGAACTATCATTTGGAATATTGGGGATGGGGTGGGTGAGGAGGGGGGCTGGGTCCTCCTGAAGACTGCAGAGCTGTTCCCAGCATTGGGAACTGTGCATCAGCTGGAAGTGGAGGTGCACAGGTGTGGGAAGGGCACAGCTGGAGCTGTCTGTAGTTTCGGATATTCAGAGGATCCAGGTGCTGGCAGGTACACGGGAAATGCATTTTAAAACCTGGGTGTGGAAAGAGAGAACTGAATGAGCCTTTATAACCCCCCAGGCGCCCTGTGAAGGCAATCAGAGAAGCCTCCCCATGCTACAGATTTCTGCTGCACGGATTTGGGAGTGCGTGGGAAGGGTGCCTACATCCATTACATTCAACATCTCTAAATTGGCATCCATTATCCTGGATGGCTTCTCTGCAGAGCACTGCTCGTTTCAGACTGGCTGGAGGCAGCTCTGTGGGAGCAGCAGTGCGAAGTGTGAAGGGGGTCTCTGGGTTTTCCGGCTCTCTCCTCCTGTTTTTGGTGGCCGGGAGGGCTGGGCTGGCCGTCTGGGAGCCGGTGCTGGGTGTGTGCTGGCTCCTGGCAGCGAGGAGGGGCTGTGCAGGGGCCGGGCCGTGCTGCTGCTCAGTGGAGAGGACGTTGGCACCGAGGCTGATGTGATCGGGATGGCAGAGGGAGCCGCCGGGGCGGCTGTGCCAGGGAGCCCAGACACGCAGGGCTGCGTTCCCACTCCCAAATCCCAGCCCCGGGGACCGTGGCAGTGAGGGATTAGTGGGGGCAGGGTGCTGAAATTATTTTTATCTCCTCTCCTTGTTGTGCCTGTGCACAAGTGCCAGCCTTTTCAGCCTTTTCTCCTTTTTTTTCCTCCTGCGAAGCATTAACTGGGTGGGTTGCCATGGCAACCCCCGCATGATAAGTTGGGCTGCCTCTCGCGGAGATTTCTCTTTCTACAGTCAAGATCTCCCTCTCTCTCTCTCTCGACATTCCATCCCCTTCCCCATTTCCCCTGGGGTGCCAGGATGGCTGAGGGCTCCGTGGTGTCCTCCACCCGGAGGCACCGGGGCTGTGTCGGGGCAGGAAGGAGCAGCCGTGCATCCCGTGGGATGTGCTTGGAACAATCCCCGCTCTCCATCCCTTGTGCAGCTCCCAATTCAAACGGGCTCCCAGTGCAACATCCCTTTTACTTGCAAGTTTTCCTGAAGAGGGCCGGGAGGTGTTTTTTGCTTGTTCTAAACAGGCAGACATTGGAGTAGTTCCCAGCTAAGCCCAGATTACAGCAAGAATGAAACTGTGTTATTCTTTCGTTCTAAATGCAAACAGTGTCTCTGAATGAGTGGGGAGAAGTTTTCTGTGAAAACAAAAGCCAGCACAGGTTGTGGCAGGTTAATAAACCACAGGTATTTATTTCAAATCACCTTTGATCTTGTCTGTGGTACATGAAAGATGCTCTAGATAAGGAATCCCAGGTGAAGAATAAACTTCTCCAGAGCTGGAGAAGAGGGTGTGATCTCCCTGACCTGTAACTCCTCAGGTTAAAATCCACCCAAATCCAAGGCCAGTTTCACCAGAGGGTTTTTTTTCACCTCAGGGCCCAGTTTCCCTTCTTTAAATAGCAGCTACTACACCGGTCTAGCATGAACTGCTTGAGATTGGTATCTGAGTAATTCTCATTGCTTTTTTAAGATATTTGTAATTTAAATTGCTTGGCAGGTGAGTTCTGGAGTGTCTGGGGTTAGAGGAGAAAAGGTTTCTGTTTCTACCTGAGCACTGCAAAGCTGAGGCAGGAGCAGAAAGGGCTGAGGGGTCAGTCAGTGGCTCTGACCAAGTCAGTGCTGTAAAGCTGCTGCTTCCTCTTAATCCTCTTGGACCCTCTCTCTGCTCCCTGGCAGGATTCTCTGTGATAGATGTAATTAGAGCAGCAGGAGCACAAACAGTGCAGCTCTGCTGATCCCTGCCCTGGGTTTGCTGGCAGGGCTTCCTGGGAATAGATGTGACTTCCACGGTACTTTGTGAAACAGGTGGTTGTCAAACTGGACAGGCAGGGACATTGTCCAGTGGTTCCTGTGCCTGTAAAACCCCACCATCAGCACTCATCCACCACACATGGGCTGGATTGTTCCAGAAGGGCTGGGAGCAAATCCTGTGGCTTAACCTGCCCTTCCCTTTGTGGAGCTGTGAATATAGGGAGGGTGCAGTGGGAGAAAAGAAAATACTTTAGTGGCTACATTAAACTAGATCCTTCCATCAGCTCTGGCTGTTGTGGCTGCTGTTTCATCTTCCCATGGAGAAAAGTCAGATTTTAAGGTTTGGACATCCATGATGGATGGTTTCTAAGGGGAATTGGAAGTCTGTTGCTGGTATCTGCAAATTGCAAGTTGTTTGTCTTCCCAGTCATACCTGGCTCCTGGAGACACATTAAATAGGTGTTTTCTTTGAGAATTTTGCTGGTAGGAGGAGAAATAAAGAAAGAAAAAGGAAGGAAAGAAAGGAAGGAAAGAAGGAAGGAAAGAAGGAAGGAAAGAAGGAAGGAAAGAAGGAAGGAAAGAAGGAAGGAAAGAAGGAAGGAAAGAAGGAAGGAAAGAAGGAAGGAAAGAAGGAAGAGAAGGAAGGAAGAGAAGGAAAGAAGGAAAGAAGGAAGGAAGAGAAGGAAAGAAGGAAGGAAGAGAAGGAAAGAAGGAAGGAAGAGAAGGAAAGAAGGAAGGAAGGAAAGAAGGAAGGAAGGCTGGGAGCAGAGGGACAGTGAGACCTGCCAGCCAGCATGTAGGGGCTGCCGTGGCTGTGGTCGGTCCCTGCTGGACTATTTTGGGCTGCCAAGGTTTCAGGGCTCACAGCAGCCATGGGTTGGAACAGGGCAGAGTAACCTGTGCTGTCAGCACAGTGAAGCAGAGCAAGGAATGAGGAGGATGTCCTTAGCTGGGAATTACTTGGAGCCGTCACAGGAGCCTGTGAAGGGTGACGTGGAGGCAGTGGCTGTGTGTGGCTCTTGGCAGATGATGAATGCAGCCTGCTGATACAAACACAATTAGGTGATGTCTAGGAAAAGTGCTGGCTTTGTTCTGTGCCTGCTCTGCTCAAGCAGTGCAGGGGCCTGAGTGCAAGTGTGTGCCCTCAGCCCCCGTGCCCCCCCAGGGCTGTGACAGTGACACCACCAGCACTGTGTGCCCAGCTGAGAGCCCGTGTGCAGCTGAACCTGGTGCTTTCTGCTGGCTGCAAATGCCCCTGTTTGGGTGGGTCTGGCCATCTGCACTCTGAGTTTGGGCACTGCCAGTCGCTCCCATGTCGTTCCCCCGTGGGGGTGGTCAGGTTTAATTGTGCTGTGTATCGAGCTGCAGATGCTTTAAAAAGAGGGAGCGCATTTAAAAAGCACTTCATTTCCCCCTCTCTGTCCACTGTGACCTTCAAAGTCGGAGGAGCCCTCCAGGGCATGGTGGCCACGGTCCAAGGAGAGAAAGCCCAGCCTGCTGCTGGCATTAAACTCCCGGGAATCAGGCTGGAACATGAGGCGAGAGGATTTCCCAGTATTTCCAACTGTGACCTTCAGAGCCGTGCAAATGTTAGTATTAAACTTATTACAGCAGAGGCCTTTCTGTGACCCTGCAGGGATAACTCCCCCCACCCTCCCCCCTTGGCTTTTTTTGGAGGCAGGACAGTGATGCTGATATGTGGTGCTGAGCCACAGAGACAGGACAAGGAGTGAGGGGTGCAAATTGAAATTCAGGTTGGATGTTAGGGAGGAATTCTTTACTGTGTGGTGGTGTGACAGGTTGTGTGACAGGTTACCCAGGGAGGTTGTGGATGCCACATCCCTGGAAGTCTTCAAAGCCAGGTTGGATGTTGGAGCAACCTGGTCTGGTGGAAGGTGTCGCTGCCCGTGGCAGGGGGTGGAACTGGGTGGTGTTTAAGGTCCATTCCAGTGTGATTCTATGATATCCCCCCTCTAGCCAGGGAGAGAGGGAGGCAGCCCAGGGGTCACTGGAGCCCCGGGGAGCGGGAGGAGCCCTGCACGCCCCGGGGCCGGGGGAGGTGGCCGCGCATGCCTGTGCCGGCCGTGCCCCCCGCCCGGGCTGCTCCAGCATCCTCGGCATCCTCCTCCCGCCCGGGATCCGCGCCCCGCATCCCGCGGGAACAAAGAGCGGCGGCCGCGCCCCGCGCGGGGCACCTGCTGCTGCTGCTGCTCCGCATCCTCCCGCATCCTCCCGCATCCTCCCGCCTCCGCCCGCCCGCGCATCATCCTCCCGCACCCGCGGCCCCAGCGCATCCTCCTCCCGCAGCGCCGGCCGCGCCCCGCGGAGCCCGGCGGAGCTGTCCGGCCCCGGGCTCTGTCCGTGGTGCTGCCGCCGCCCCCCCAAGCCCTGCCCTCGCCCGGAGCTCGGGGCCACCGCGATCCGCCGCCCGCGCCTCCCCAGCGCGCCCGCGGCTCCCGCTCGCCCGGCATCCTGTTGCGCCGCGCCCGCGGCGAGGAGCGGAGCAGCATCTTCGGGAAGGAGCCTCTGCCCAGGCTGAGCCCTCGGAACAATGGCTGCGCTGCCGCCGATGCTCTGGGCGTCCTCGCTCGTGCTGGTGCTCTGGGGTAGGTGCTTCCATTCCCACACCTCCTAAGGATGCTGCTTTAAATTTCCTAGCGGGGCTCCCTTCACGCCGCTTTCCGAGCGGCTCTTTATTTGTTTTGTTTTGTTTTGTTTACGAGAGAAGGGGATTACGTTCGTGCAGAGTTGGTGTGAATGTGACGGAGTTTGTACGAGCAGAGAAAACCCCTCGGTGCTGAGGAGACTCACGGCAGAAAGCATGTGCATGTCCTCTGCTGTTTGCTGTTGTTTGGAAATTTGCAGTGTAATTTAACGTTTAGTCGCCTTCAGGGGGGGGGTGTGCAGAGCATTAAACCGTGTGTTGGTGCTTAGTTTCCGTGTAGTCTGTACAAACTGGAGTAAATCAGTTTATTGCAATTGCAACTGCCACAGGGAAAGGGGGGTTGGTCTGTTGGTCTTGCCAACACGGCCACATTTCGATGTGCACGTCCCTCCAGCCCTGTGTGTTGGGTGCATGTCTGTGTATGTGTGTGTGTGTGTGTGTGTGTGTGTGTGTGTGTGTGTGTGTGTGTGCATCTGATTTTACTGGAATAAAGCAGGATCCTGTAGCTTTTCCTTATTTCTCCCTGAAAGCTGGTGCTACTCATGGAGCTGGTAGTACGGGAGAATTGGAATCGGGCTGTTTCCAGGAATAGTTCCCGGGATCATACAGTGCTCCAGAGAGCGGGTTAATGGTGTCTCTGAGGCTGGGGAGGAGGGAGCAGCCAGCAAAGTCAGCGTCTGGGCTCTGGAGACAGGCTTGGGCAGACAGAGCCCAGTATTGTTTAGCCCAGGGGACAAATGTCAGCAGGGATTTGGGCTGAGACGTTGTGCTGAAACGATCCTTTCCTGCCCAAGTCTGTGCTTTCACATGCAACGATTTTCCCCTTCTTTGCAAGAGCAGTAGCTGAGAGTTTCCAGCATTAGCACAGACCTGATTGGAAGCATTTTGAGCAGGAATGCATGTGAAATCAATAACTCCTCCTGCTGCCAAATTCACTCATGTCCAAGCCCCTTGGTTCCCAGTACTGCCCAGGAAGCCCAGAGACAGGAAGGGTGGCAAATCCTCATGGATTCTGAACACATTGATGGATTAAAGCATCCAGACCTTTTAACTTAGCACAAAGAGCGAGCTGTTCCTCCACACTGGAATTCTGGGCTTTCCCTCACCCCAGACTGTAATTGCTGCTGGAACAGGA